AAACTCTCACCCCCATTTTCTTTTCTTTTTCTTTTTTTTGCCTTATTTTTCAGTCATTAAACAATCTCTAAGCTTATCCTAGAGACATCTTTAAAAATTACATTCTACTTTTGATTTTATTAAAGGTAAAAATAGTCACATAATTATGTTCCACTTCATTGAAATTACAATTATCATTTTCTGAACTTTCATGAATAATTTTGTATGTGAACAAGACTGGTCTAGATCTCATTTCTTAGTGGAATTAGAAATCCAGTGGATTAAAAAAGAATAAAGAAAAACACAATGCAGTCTACTGTGGGCTACTTAATTATTACTTATGCAAGCTTGAAGTCAATCTGAAAGAGAAACTTAAGATATAGTCGTCTGCAAAGACAGAAAATGGTGTTTTTGAAAAGTTTTGTTACAACTTTGAAAAAAATAACCCATATGTCCAAAGTTTATCTTGAAATACTTGACTATGATGGCTCAGCTATCATCAGGTAGATGCCCTCAAATATAAACTGTCAATGTTATTTTTGTATTTGTATGAGATAATTTCCCTTTGTGTGTTCTTTGGCCAGTTACAAGTTAGTATTAGGAAATTGAGTTTATAGAGGAAAAATATTGGAGAGCATAACATGCAAGTGCATTTTTACCATAAGTAAAATAAATTCACTGCTTTGTTTTTAGTTCAAAATACAATATGAGCTGATAAAGTTACCAAAAAGTCTCTCTCTCAAGTAGGAGGTACAATCTGTTTATTATATCTCTCGTGTTTTTCTCTTTTTCTAGAGAATAAAGGAGAGAAAGTCATGGTAACGTTTACCTCTGATTCAGAACAATGTTAAGAAACATAAAAATGAACAACTCAGCAACTATCTCTTTGTTTGATTTGAGTATCAAGCAAATCAGATGAGCAAAGGGTTCCCACAACCCAGAGTTCAGCTCCCATCAGGTAACTGCTTTCTACTGCATTAACAGACAGCCAAGCGTGATGAGGACTGTTCGATTGGACTGTTCATATGGAGAAACTAAATGCTAACAGGTAATCAGCCCAAATATCTCGTCATCTGAATAATTAATTTTCTTTTATTTAATCTGAAAATATGAATTTACTCAATAATTTCACTCCAGAAAATATGAATTTGCTTTATAATTTCACTCTAGGACCGCAAAATAAGCGAAATTATAAATGAAGTCTTTTCTCATAAGAAGTATTAAGAAAAAAAAGTAGATCGAGATTCTGAGTTTATTGCTTGTGCTACTATTTTTACTGTTTTTTCAGCACCAACACTGTTAATTTTTTTTTTTTTTTGGTTTTTGGTTTTTGAAGACAGGGTTTCTCTGTGTAGCTTTGCGCCTCTCCTGGAACTCACTTGGTAGCCCAGGCTGGCCTCGAACTCACAGAGATCTGCCTGGCTCTGCCTCCCGAGTGCTGGGATTAAAGGCGTACACCACCACTGCCCGGCTAACACTGTTAATTTTTTATCATTTCTTTTTATACTGTATAAGTTCCTAAAGGTACGAACTCACGTTCAGTGAGTTTTTCTGAACTCTCTAATAGAGTTAAAACAAATTCTTCCTGTTCTGGGTGTTTTCTTTTGTTGTTTTTTTTTTTTGTTGTTGTTGTTGTTGTTTGTTTCCTTTTTTTTTCTTTTTTTTAAAACAGGGTTTCTCTGCATAAACCTGGCTGTCCTGGAACTTGCTCTGTAGACCAGGCTGGCCTCAACTCAGAGATCTACATGCTTCTGCCTCCTGAGTGCTGGCATTAAGGATATGCGTCACTACTGCCTGGCCCAACAAATTCTTTTTAATGAAACTAATTCTATAGTCTTTCAATAAACACTAGCAGAATCACCATTATTCTTAGTGGAAAATGGAAACAGAGACTGAATTTACTAAGTCCATTCATGGACTTTCGGAAAACTCCCTAATGTTAAAGACAAACTTTGAACTTCCTAACTTACAGTATACCAACTTAAACTGCACAGTTTACCCTAGTCATGGGTTACATGTTTGCTTCAGTTTTGTTTTTGAAAAACAAACCCTTGAATTCTGAGAGAAGAAAACAATATGGCTACTTTTAGCCGTACTGTTTACTCATTCAAGCCTCCACCAAAGAGAGAAAAAGTCGATGAACTCAAAAGGGCTCTGTGAGTTTCAGTCACTTAGGAACACAAATTCATGAATTCATTTTGAAAATCCAGTTGGCTCACTTAGATCAAAACCGTGTTCTCATACTTGCTATGTGTGTGAAACTGCTGTGAATTAAATTTGTGCTGCTGTGAGATAGAACTAATGTCCTCAAGACTCCCTACACTTGAACATTTTCCTTCCAAATACTTTTCTTCCTTGAATGAAAAGTTAGAGGTTTTATTTTATTTTATTTTATTTTATCAATGAAGTTATTAACCCTACCGAGTATCCCTCTTACCTATGTGTGTTTCCTGTCATATATTAATCACTTGCTGAACAAATAGTACTCACAGTGCGTGAGTTCCCATGCAAAAGATTTTACCTGCACTGTTATATGGAATCGCCAGGACTGCACTCCCAACACAGGCTGTCGTTAGATTCTTTTAATAAATAGAGGAGTAGTTCATTATCATACAGCTAATAAGGGTTGTAGAAGGGATTTAAGACAAGTTTTAATTCCTTTCCAAAGCTTATAGCAAGGACAAAATATACTACTTGAAAAGTAAAGGAACTACAAAATCTTAAGAATTTCTTGTTTATTTGTTTTAAGGTTCAGAGATAGTTATGCCCCATAAAGACCTGGAATGTCACTAAAGATTTCCATGATCAATTCAGATGAGAAACATGTAGATCGGCATGGGTCAAACCCATTGTCTGCCAAATAAAAGTTCTCTGCTTCCATAGTCTCCCTGTACCCAGTCCCCAAATTAAGTCCACAGAAAGAATGATGAATAGCTTAATGATCCTGTACAATCCAAGCAGACAGAAATGTAATCACGTAGTCAGCATTTTCATCTTCCAAACCATATGCTTATCTTTACAGAATAGAATTTTTAGACTAGTCGCATTTTGTAATGTGTTGTATATCATTAGGAGATAAGACTACCAGCTGTTTGAAAGAAATGGGAGCTTTACTATAAGAACCCAGTGGAAGGAAGTGAATGAGACAGACTGATGATAGGAAAGGAACACTAGCTAACCGTTCCATTTCTCATCCCAACTCCAATTTTTCTTACCAGTTTCACCCACTTTTAAAGAAGATTTTAATATCTTCATTCATATCTCTCTAAAGTGCTATAATGTGAAACATTGTACTTGCATAAAAATTAATTCTTGCAATGTTTTGTAAAATACTTGGTACTTAAGGCATTTAAAGCATGAGTCCACATCAAAATTACGACCCACCCTACGTAGAACAGTAAATGGTTGACTTCTTGAAGAAACCTTTGTTAACAGGCTACGTCCAAGACAAAGTATAAAGATCACATCTATTCACACAGAGCAGATGTGCTAATATCAGGCAGTTCTTTACTATAACAATATATATAACAAATATCTGGATTACATTTACAACATGAAATTAAATTCCCATAAAATCCTATAACTTGAGAAAAACCCAAGAGGGCTAACAAGGTTTTCACTTAGCATCTAAATAACCTGGCTAACCAAGTATGTACTCTGTTTCTGTTTTTAAATTTAATTGTATATATTTTATTATAAGGGACACATATGTCATGGGATCATAGATGAAAAGATGACTATATGATGTTGATTCTGTCCCTCCACTGTCAGGTGAGTTCTAGGGACTAAATTTTGATCATCAGGCCTGAATCCTCTGGAGGTAAGCATCTTTACCCACTAAGTCATCTGGCAGCCCAAAGGTATGCCCCTCCCAGTTTAGTTCCCCAATCTTAGTCTTCCACCCCCTCATCTTCAACGAGCACACTGTCTCCTACCTCTTCTGCCTTCAGACCTCCTTTTCAGCAAACAGAAAAAGAGGAGAGCAAACAACGTCATGTCTATGGTCTTCGAGAACATGTTTGGAAACTGTAAATGACAGGGATGCTTATACTTTACTAGCCAAAACTCAGTCGTAGTCTCAAAGCAAAGTGGGAAGTGACTGTAACCTACAAACAAAAATCCAGGGAATAGACTAAAGGAAAACAAGCACTGTCTGCCACAACAACATTATTCAAAACTCAATGTCTTTGTAAACAAGTTCATCCACACCAGGGATTTCAATATCTGTACTTCAGAATGTGATTATGAGTGTCCTGCTCAAAAGTGCCTGTTACACATATAAAGCACTTGATTCATAGTCGTGTCTCATGCAGACTTATGGTATTATTTGTTCAAAGAGTCCACGAACAGAAAATCTTCACTTGGGGGATTTTATTAATGAAAGAGGATGCTTTAGGCAATGTTTTTTGTTTTTTTATATTTGCTATGCCATCATAATTGTGAGCGCTAGATATCCAAGTTCCCATCAACAGACTGGTGCCTGGAAGACTTGAGACACCGCTTGTCAACATGGTTTTAAATAAACATTCTGGTCATAACAGAAGAAACTTTATCAAGTGTGAACTACCAGATTTAATATATCATGTATGTCATTCCTAGCTCCTTGTCATTCTCCTTAAACAGAGAGCTGGGCTTTCTTGTTGTTCTTGCCCTTGCTGCTGTTTTTCTTCTTTCTAATTCAAGAGGATCTGAAGCTATTCATCAGTGAGCACAGGCTAGAGTTAAGGCTTGACATGAAGTAACTAAAGGCAGTCTTCTTAGATTGCTCAGCTGCTATTCAAAGCCATACCTATGAAATGCTCAAAATGGATTCCTGAATTTCACTTGTATTCCCATTCATACACCCTCCTGCATTTTTCAGAAGTCTCCAAGGAAAGCAACTTCTTATCTGCAGTTTTACAACCTTTGGGAAGATTATATATTATATATATAATGAAGGGTAACACACACACACACACACACACACACACACACACACACACACACACACACATATATATATATACACACACACACATTACCTTTTATTATCAAGTGAGGTCCCCAGCAGACAAAAAGCTGATATCTAAAAGCAAGAAGACTCTCACTTATAGTGATGGAGAAAGTGGGAATCAGCCACAAAGATCACACAGAAAGTCACTGAGTGCAGAGCAAAGCTTTGGGTTCTTTTAAAGAAAACACTGGAGAAATGTTTGGAACATTTTTTTTCCTCAGAGAAACTACCCCAGAACATCGAAGTTCCTCAGTTGATCCAAAGGAAGACAGATGCTAACAATTGGCAAAAAAAAAAAAAAAAAAAAAAAAAAAAAAGACACAATGAACCAGTTGTGGGACGTGCCTACTGATTGCCAATTTGTAAAATAAAATCTTTTGAATACCCGAAGGCTATTTTAAAAGAAGTTGCTGATTCTAAATGAATAACTTCACTTTGCTGTGTTTTCTGCTCTTGTATAGATCATCATTACTATTTTTACTTTCTATTTTCAGCAGAAACTGGAGTTAACCTTTTGTTCCATCTGCAGCCCGCCTTCTAAAGCGGCACCACCTCCTTTTCATTATTCCTTTCAAAAGCACTGAAATTTGCAAAATGTGCCATTTCCCTCCCTCACTCTGTGGAGGAGTAGCGGGGCTGGCTTTTCAAGCATGATGATTCCTAATAATCAAAGGAACTTGAGGACAAAAATAAGTACTCAGAGCAAGTAACATGCAAAGCTGGAGCAGGTGTGATCACAGAGGCAGCCTAACTCCCTCATCCTCATGGGTGTTCTCCAAGAGCCTGGTGTAGCACCTGGGACTCACCAGCCACAAGGACTTACTAAAGACTTTAAGCCTCAAATAAAAACAATTTTTTTTTTTGGAGATGCTATTGACTAAATCTCTACCAATTAGCAGTACATCTTTTCATGCTGGTTTATATGATGTTTCTCAAAACCACTGCCTGCTCTCCTGGTTTCTGAGCATAAGTTACTGTTAATTAGGAAAAGTTCAGTCACTAAGCATTTTTTGGTGAGGTATTAGGAATCCTGTAAATATAAAAAGAGGAGCCAAGTCCCCATACGATTAAAATCAGTTTATGTATGTCACATAATTTCCTCTGAAAATGCTATGACCTTCAAATAAATAAATATATACATATATACATATATATATATATAAAATTTAGTTAGCATTCCCATATATTAAAATATAGCCATGCACATAGCTATATATGTTTATGGAATATATATTTATTCATCCTTAGAAAGTGTCCAAAGCAAGTAAATAGTCACAGTCACTCCATAGTAACCCTGATACACCAACATCATGACAGGTTACTTGAGCCTGACTATGGCAGGCTGGACAACAGCAAGAAGGTCTTGGTCAGGAACTGACAGGAGGTACCATGTGGGCAGTGAGCAATGAAGGGTGATTCTGAGTCTATTGTAAAGAATTCTAAAGGGCCAGAACTGTTCACCAAGCATTATGCCCTGCTAATTGATTGATGATAGAAACTATCTACAGAGATGTGGAAGGATACACTAGAGGGTATAAATTTGTATTGTAGAGCAAGAGTTCAGGGCAGGAGAAAGCCTATGCAGTCACATAATCTCAGAGACAAATATGAAATCTGTTCCTAAAGTTATTTACTGCCATATGTCATATAACCAGAAACAAAAAGCAGAACTCCACCTCAGAGACCTCTGCCCCGGAGCCTGGATGCTTATGATATATTGAGTATCTGAGTCACTTTGAACAACTCAAAGAATTTAAATTAGTAATTTAAAAAATAACTAATTATTTCTTCCAGCTATGAGGCTTAGGAAAGTTCAAACTGGAGGCACCAGGAGATCTAATGATTAATGATAGCCTACCTCCCTGTTCATAGATGGGTATCTTCTCCCATCTCACACAGCAGAGAAAGAAAAATGGTGTTCTCTGTGTGTTGGGTTGCCAGCTTAACAGAATTGACAATGATCGAGAGGACGGACCTGAGGGCACATCTGTGAGGAAGATTCTAGGTTGGGTTAAAGGAGGAGGGAACACCCACACTAAAAATGTGTGAAAGCAGAGGGTCCTTGACTCAGTGAAAGGGAGAGCCTGAGCTGAGAGCCTATTCACAGCTCTCTACTTTCCTATTAGGGATTCAGGGATCAGCTACCTCATGCTCCTGTTTTCATGCACTCTTCACAGTGATGGAGTGTATCTTCAAATCAGAGGCAAAGCAAGCCCTTCCATTATTAAGTTGCTTTTTATCAGAATAGTGAGAAAAGTGACGAACATACTGTGGCTCCTAAGACTAGACTAGAGCCAACATGAGTAGCTAACTCTCATGATTTATTTACCTCTCAGAAGCACCACCCAAACACTCTCAGTTTGGGGATTCAGGTTTTAGCTTATGCATTTGAAGAGGGCCTCAAACACTTAATCTATGACCTTAATTTATGGAACATTAATAAATGCAATGTGTGTCTTACTTACTGTTCTATTGTTGTGAAAAAACACCATGACCAAAGCAAGTCTTACAAAAGAAAGTGCTTAATGGGGTGCTTGCTTATAGTTTCAGAGGGCTAGTCCATGATCATCATAGCAGGAAGCGTGGCTCAGGAGCAGTAGTTGAGAACCTTGCATCCTGATCTGCAGTCAGGAGAGAGAGAGAGAGAGAGAGAGAGAGAGAGAGAGAGAGAGAGAGAGAGAGAGAGAGAGAGAGAGAGAGAGACTGGGTGTGGTGTGGGCTTTAGAAACTTCTAAGCTCAGCCCCAATAACACAGCTCCTCCAGCAAGACTGCAGATCTTTCTCAAAGAGTTCCACTAACTGAGAACTGAACCAAACATTCAAACATGAGAGCCTATGGAGGTCATTCTCATTCAAACCATCACAGTGTGCAAATATGTTGATATTATTGTGCAATAAACTGCTCATCTAAAAAGATTCTGTTGTGTGTCCCTATGACGTAAAAAAAAGGAGATATTAGACACCTTGCACACTAATATCATTTCTGCTACAAATTATGGGACACCTAGAATCATATGCTGACATCATTATATTAAGATGAAAAAGCTTCAGGTTACTATTTAATCTCTAAGATCCTCTCACTTCCATTACTCTAAAAACCACAAAACGTCCTTTAAAAAAAATAATATACCCCCACAACTTATCTGTGTCATGGTCATATTTTTATTTAAAATATCAATAAAGGAGATTTACTTACTTTGATATTCATTCTGTGTAGTTAATCAGTTCCTATTATCCAAAGTTTTCACATATACAATCAGTCTTGATGTGTTCTCATATAATCATGGACTCACACTTAAATGACACAACATTAAAAGTATAAAAGCTTGCCACTAGAGTACAAGACATTTTGTTTTAACACACTTTGGATAACAATGACACAATACTTACTCAGCAGTCAGCCAAACACTACATAATGTCAAGTTTTCTTCATTTTCAAGATTGTAACACTGGTGACTTTACTGTTTTCTGAGCATTAAGGCCACATGACATGTAACACTTTGCTCCTGATGAGCAACTAAGATGTGGTCTTTGAGAGGGGACTAGAGCTAAGGATGGAATATATTTATTTGGCTTCAGAGTGTCAGGCTGTGATATATTTACTTTCTTTTTGTCAGGAATGTATGACTTTTTGAGTAGGGAAATAAAAGGCTTACAAAGTTATAATTAACTCCCTCTGAATTCTATTTGGCACAAAAGAGAAATAAACTAAAGCCTAATCCACTTTGATATAAAACTATAACTAACCAACCAAAATATTTCATTAGTCAAGCAGTTAGTTATTGCTATCCCTTACCTTTTATTTGCACTGATTTTCTTCTAGAGAAATGTGCTATTTCTCTTGCCTGGTGGCTCATTTTAGGTGTCAATTTTAGGTGGACTAATGAATATCCGAGGAGCTGTCAATGTATTGTTTTCAAGTATGTCTGAGAGGAAGTTTTATGGGACTCTAAGTGGACTTAGAGATGATCCACTCTCAATGTGCACATGTCACTCAATGTGCTGTGGTTAAAGGTGGGGTGTCAGCACAGAGGAAAGGGTGAAAAATCAGTCTCTCTCTTTCTTAAAAAGCTTAGATACATCCTTTTCTTATAATTGGCTATCATAGCTACAACCTCTTCACCCTTTAGACTCAGAACTTACATTAACATCAGTGGCCTCCATACCATTGAACTTGGTCTGAACAAAGCCATGCTTAAACATCCCAGTCTCTATATTTCAGACAGTATGTCAAGACTTTTCTTATAATCTGTAAAAAACCAATTCCCTTAATAAATTATGTATCTGCCTATCTATCTATCTATCTATCTATCTATCTATCTATCTATCTATCTACCTATCATCTATCTATCTGTCTATCTAACTATCTCCTATTTATCTGTCCTTCTATCTGCATACACACACACATACACACACACACACACACACACACACACACACACACACACACACACACACACTTTTGGCTCTGTTTCTCTAGAGAACACTTATTAATACATATAATATTATGTAGACATAGCTTAAAAAATGCTAAGCCCTAAGCTGAAAATCAAGTAGAACCTTCTTTGGATTATAGTAATGCAAATGTCCATCCTATTTATTTAGTCTTCAAACATTTCTAAAAGGTAAAAAAAAAATATTTGAAAAATGTCCTGTGTAAATATAAAACTTTTTCAATTAATTACTGCAAAGTTCACTGTTTCCCCAAGGCATATTGAACTTCAGTACACACATTTAGCTACATAAGAACATGAAAGAAAATTGTACTATTTGAGAATGAGAACTAGACCCTTTTTTAATTTGGCAATGCTCAATACAGGAATAGTCTTTTGGGTGCAGAAAGACGTGGATAAAAGAGTGAGATAAATGCTGGTGTAGAAAAGAATATTAGAATAAAATGTGATTGCCAGGTCCATTTGACATTTGAACTCAAAACACCACTCCAGTGAGAATTCTGGTGTTGATTTTGCATATTAGAGAGTGAGGGGTTATATTATTGTAGCAATTTTCAAAAGTTGTGTCTGTTAGATTTTTACTTTGGAGAAAAGTAAAAGAAATAAGTACCCAGGTATTGTTAACTCTAAAGCATTTAGTATACTTAGCTATTACTCAAAAGAAAAAAAAATAGAAATCTGCTACCCATTTCTATATTCAAAATTTCAGAACATTAAAACATTACTTGTTCAAGACAATTATAAATTTGTAATTTCAGTGAAAAAATGGACTAATATTGTATAATACTTTGTTTGTATTCTGACAAATAAAGCTTACCTGGAGATCAGAG